GTTCATTTGACTCTCAAGCAACTCAGCAATTCATCATCCACACAGTAAACGACTGTGTCCCCCACCAAACGCACGCTGCAAGTTCAGCCCCGCCGAGCTCGCCCCCCACTGCAGGGCTAACGGGGTCAGAACGCCACACTGCAAGTTCAGCCCCACTGAGCTTACCCCCCACTGCAGGGCTAACGGGGTCAGAGGAGACACAGACGAAGACACCCTGGCTCGGACATGCGTCTTCAAGGTTCACAACACCACCCGCTTGCGGGAGCCCGTGTGACCCTGCTGGGGGAAACCTGGACCATGTCTCCCCGGGGGCCATGTGAGGCCCTGCCTGGGCCCCCGCTTCTGCCCGCAAGTGCCCACATGCATCCCAGGGTGCCTCCTGCCCCCGTCACCTGCCCTCAGGGCCGCAGGCAGGTGGGAACACGCACCGCAGCCGGGGGGTCCACCTGCAGCCTCTGCATCTGTGTGCGCAGCTCCAGGACCTGGTCGGTCAGCTCGAACACCTGCCTGCGGAGGGCGTCCTTCTCCACCAGGCTCTGTGAGATGGCCATCTGGGCCCCATCCCTCGCGGAGTACGCCTGCGGGCCAAGACAGTGGCCACGAGGGCACCTCAGCTAGAGAAAGTTCTGCTCTCGTCGGCGTCTGTGCACTAAAGAAGCACACCACGGGCTGTGCAAGCTTCAGGTTCATCTTGGGTCGTGTCCACGAATGCCACCTGCCACCTGGGTGTCCCTTCTCAGTGCCCAGAGACGACAGCAGTGGGGAGCTCAGGAAAGAGACCCCGAGGCCGGGAAGCAACCGCCCTCACCCTCAAGGACAGGCAGAGCCGGGAGGCCCAGCCCTGACTCAGCCTCATGCAGAGCGGCACAGGCGGGGGCGGGAGCTCCTGTGCGGAGACTCTGAAGGCAGGTGCCTGTGTCTCCTAGCCCCTCGCCCGCGCCCACCCTGCATACCTGGTCCCGCTCCTTCTGCAGCTCTGCCACGTGGCTCTGCAGGGCGCTCAGCTTCTCCTTGAGGAGCGCACAGTCCACTTTGCTCTTTTGGAACTGCAGCAGTGTCTGCTCCTTCTCTTCCCAGTCCTGCACGAGGGGGCGGCCACACAGGCCAGATGCTCTGAGGGCTGGGCTGCACCGAGGGATGGCCACACAGCGGCTCTGAGGCTTGGGCTGGGCTGCAGAGGGGACGCCACACAGCCACTCTGAGGCCTGGGCTGGACTGCACCAAGGGACGGCCACACAGCCACTCTGAGGCCTGGGCTGGGCTGCAGAGGGTACAGGCCATGCAGTTATCTGAGGCCTGGGCTGGGGCTGCGCGGAGGGACCGGCCTTGTAGAAGACCTGGGCTGGGGTGAAGGAGCACAGGGGAGACTCAGAGAGACAGCTCCGTGGGTGAAGGGGAGACAGAGAGATGGCTCTGTGGGTGAAAGGGGAGACAGAGAGACAGCTCCGTGGGTGAAGGGGGAGAATTCAAGCTGTCTGTAAGGGCTGGATTTCCAGACCCATTTTGGCTAATACTTCCTTGCTATGCTGAATATCGAATCTATTGATAACCACCAAAATCAGCGTGTCCGTTGAACGCACGGCTGTTTGTCCAACGTCCCCCCAGCCTGCTTCATCCTTTCCCACCATCTTCCGCCCCCAGTTCTCCCCCAGACTAAGTGCCGGCTCTCCCCAGCCCCACGTTCAGTCTCGTATTGTCCTCACCATGGCCTCTGGGCACGGACTGTGGGTGGGGGCTCAGCACGGCTGACGGAGGAGGAACCAAGTGGCCCCCGCCGTGGTCAAGCTCCTGTGGGTGAAGGGCCAGTCTTCCCTCAAGACCGCCCTCCCACGCCGCAGGGAGTGTGGGGCGTCACCTGCTTCCTCTGCCTCTCGGCGGCTGCGGCCCGCTCCCGCAGCGAGTGGAGGCGGTCCACCAGCTCCTGCTTGCTCTCCAGGGCCTCGTCCAGGCTTTGCTCCAGGATGTCCTTCTCCGCCTGGACACAGAGAGGTCAGCCCGGCCCGCCCCAGGCCTGCGAGGGACGGGACAGAGGGCGGGCACTACAGGGTCCGGCGTGTGGGTGGGTCTGGCTTCGTCTGGTACGTGAGGCAGGAAAAGGCCACAAAAGTCAACTCTCGTAAATGGAAAAGCACGCGTTTCACTTCTCATTAGGAGTCTTTGAAGAGCTCATGGAACATATGTCTTGTGAAAAAAGTATGTGTGAATTCCAAAATCCTTTTGTATCAAAATAAATATTCTTTTTTAAAGGTTTTTGACATAGGGCACATGAGCTCATTGAAGAGAGTCAGAGAGAGACAGAGAGACAGAGAGAAGGAAACTGAGCAGTCACCGCCTCCCCCCCCCACGGGGGATGGCCACACAGCAATCCCTTCTCCATTCTCCTCTCAGGGTTTTGGGCACGCACACACATGGGTCAGGCATGGGACTTAAACCATGGTCAGCCACGTGGAAATCTGGCGCCTTAACTACCATATCACCTGCTGGCCCTGATAACCTCGTACTTTATTTTCATTTTTCCACAGGCATTTTTTTTGGAGAGGTTTTTGCCAGAAAGACAGAGAGAGACAGAGAGACAGAAAGCAAGAAATCACCCCCCGGGGGGATGGCCATGCCGCAATCCCTTCTCCTCCATTCTCCTCTCGGGATCTTGGGCACACACGCACACGCACCCGGCATGAGTTTAAGCCACTGGGTCCAGGACTCAAACTGCGGTCGACTACATGGGAGTCCAGCGACATAGCCATTACGCTAACTGCTGGTCCCTCCACAAGCATTTCGAAGTCTCTTTTTTACATGGTCAAGGAGATGAAAGTAAAAGAAACTTGAGACTTTTTTTAGAGAGAGATTTTTGCTATAGGGTGTGTGCGCTCACTGGAGAGACGGACGGGAAGCAAGAACTCACTCCCTAGGAGGATGGCCACACCACAATTCCTTCTCCATCCTCCTCTCGGGATCTTGGGCACGCACATGCCCAGAGTGAGTTTTAAGCCGCAGATTCCGAGACTCAAACTATTGTCAACTACGTGGGAGCCCAGCAATGCACAGCTGACCCTGCTGGCGACCTCTGGAGGTAACAATTCCTCCTTTCCTCACCTCCTCCTCCTCTGACACACTGCCTGCCCAGGCTCAGAGACCGGCTTTGCCAGCCCTTGCGCTTGCTCTCGAGGAAGGAGCCTGAGACAGTGCCCGTCTGGCTGCCCGCCTAGCACTGCCCTGTGTCCGCGGAACTCTCATCGAAGTAGTAGCTCCAGACACGGGAGTTCATTTATTGAAGGAATCAAGGCACCAGCGGGTGGTGTGGTGGTTAAGGTGCTGGATTCCCACGTGGCCATCCGTGGTTTAAGTCCCAGACCTGGCGACTGGAAAATTACACTGCGCACTTACGCGTGCCCAAAATCCCAAGCAGAGAAGGGATTGTGGTGTGGCCATCTGCCCTGGGGGATGATTTCTTACTTTCCCTCTCATGTCTCTCTTTGTCTCTCCAGGGAGCACATGTGCCCTGTGGCAAAATCCTTAAGAAACCAAAGAAAAGGAGAGAAGGAGAGAAGGAAGGGGTTGTAGAGAAGCGTGTTTAAATCCCAGAGCTTTGCTGTCACTACTTCCTCTGCTTTCAGAAAGTCCCTGCTCTCCAGGGAGGGCAGGCGCAGAGGTTTTCCAGGCAGAAGGGGTTCTTTTCCCCCGGCTCTCAACCCTGTATGACTGGCCCAGGTCAGAGCGGGGCATCCCCAACACGGGATCCTGCCAACGCACGGGGCTGGGCGCAGCAGGAGAGCAGCGTGGGGAGAGGGGCAGGTGAGTCTCTCTGCAGGTCTCACCTCGCCCGGTCCTTGCCTACCTACCAAACCACTGTCGGCCCGCACAGCTGGCACCTCCAGGTGACACGGAGGACACTCAGCCTCTGCTCAGGAAGGGGAGCTGAAGCTGGACCTACCAGGCTGAAGGTCAGAGAGCGGAGCTTCTCATTCTCCTCCTTCAGGAGGTTCAGCTCCCCACCCGGCTCCAGGCCACTGGCCATCTTCAGGGACCGCTCTCGGAACTGCCGCTCACAGGAAGAGACCATGTTCACTCGCTGCAGCTCCTGCTTCATCAGGTACAGCTGTGGGGGAGACGGAGGGTGCCGGTAGTCTCTGCTGGACCGGAAGCCAGTGTGTTTTCAGCGCCCCTCCTCAGGAGAGGCTGTCCTGCTCCACGCACCCGACCCCCAAGACTGAAAACGCATGAGCGGGCTTCACCCAGTGCACAGTCCTAGCTCCTCAGGGCCGGAGAAAGCCTGCGAGCTCTGCCATGGGCACAGCACAGCCGTCACCCTGCCATGCCACGGCCCCTGGGGGATGGGACAGGGGCCCCGGCCACCAGCTCCTTATCATGATCGTTAAACGGACAGTCACCAGCAGCCACCAATAAATGGTCAGGATGTCCCCTGGCTTCTCTGCCTTCCCGAATGCTGTTAATACACCAGACGGAGTTTGGAGTCATGCAAACCAGGAAGAGTCAGGTCAGACGAGGTGAAGGTATCGGGGACGGAGGGCCTGGGGCCCGGCGGTCCACTCTGTGCAGCGTCCTGCCCAGGGGCCGTGTCCAGGTCCTGGTCCTTTGGGAACTGCCTGCCTGGGCCCTGCTGGCCTCGTTCTCTGGACAGTGGCCCAAGAGAAGCTTGGACTTGCAGCCCGTGGCCTGGCTTCCCCCCAAACCCGGCGTGGTGCCCTGGGGAAGGGGGACGGCAGGGTGGAGTCCTGTGCTCTCTGCTGGGCCCACGTGGAGAAGGAAGGACCTTCCACCTGGACTTTCCCCTGCAGCACCTGTTCTGCAAGCTCTCAGCGGCAGTGGCTGGGTTCCTACTGGGGGCCCGTGGGGCGGGGAGCAGGTCACATTCTACACACTCAAAAAGTCGAATGAAAGCACCAAGAACTGAAAGGGAGGAAACACGCTGGCTGAACGTCAGGACCCGCGTTCTGTTCACACGCTGCAACCACAGCCCAGGCACAGGCTGAGAGGCAGAATCACTTTTGCACGCAGTTTCATGATGAGCTCAGGCCTCGTGCAGAGGCAGGGGGCGTTATAATCCAGCCCTGGGCTCCCCTTAGTGGGTCTGTGTGTCACAGAGGTTTCAGCTCTGTGGGCTGAGCCATGGGGTGCGTGTTCGGCGCTGCTGTGGGCAGGGCTGCCCGGAGGGAGGGGACCACAAGTGTGGACGGGGCAGGGGACAAAGACAGTCATGGGGGTGGGCTGGGATTAGAGGTGCTGGTGGAACTCTTGGTTTCTAAAATGTGTGTATGTGTGTGTGCACATGTGTGTACATGTGCACACATGTATGAGTATGTATGTGCGGGTGTGCGTATACGTGTGCATGTGTGTGCACACAAGAATGTGCATGTATATGTGCACAGAGCTATGCACATGTGCACACACACTACTCTGTGTGTGTACGTGTGAGCAGAGCTATGCATGTGTGCGCACACATTACTCTGTGTACGTGTGAGCAGAGCTATGCACGTGTGTGCACACACTACTCTGTGTACGTGTGTGTATGCATATGCGTGTCTTTATGGAAGTGCCCGTGTGCGTGCGTGTCTCTTAGCCGTCCTCTGAAAAGACTGAGAAGCAGACTCCCCGTAGCGGAAGGCATACCCAGCACCCAGATCTTGTTCCCTTGAAGGTCCCAGGGCCTCAGAGAAACGGCTGACCCAGAGCTGGCCCAAGGTGGGGACGGGATGACCCTGGAGCATCGCAGGTGCCGGTGCTCACACCAGCAGGGCACCGACGGGCACAGAGCAGGTCGGAGAGCTCCCGCTGTCCATGCCTGGCGACCTGAGCACCAAGTCACAAAGGACAGGAAAATGCCGCAGGGCGCCAGGGACGGCCACATGGGTGCGGAGCGGGGTCATCCCGTCAGACTGTGCGCCATCCCAGCCGGGGCTGGGGCTGCTCTTTTTAAGTTTATGACTTCTTTCTTCAGAAAGTGAGAGAGCGAGTGAGCACCCCCAGCAGGGTCTCCAGCTGTGCTTCATTCCGAACCTCGCCTGGCCTGGGTCCCGGGGGCATGTGTGTGTCCAGCCTCTCAGAGTCCTAAACACAAACCCAGCCGTGTCACCTCTGCACTGCCACGTGGCCACTGGTGTCGGCAAGGGTCAAGGCTGGTCCGGGCAAGGGTCTCAGGGAGGGGCGGATGTGTACTGCCCCCGGCGCCTCCCTTGCTGCAGAGTTGAGGCCGGAGAGAAAGGGAACGCTCCAGTGAGCAGCGGGCAGCACCTGGCACGCTGGCGGGCGGGAGCAGCCTGTGAGGGC